AAAATTTCCTCCAGGCTCCAAGTGAAGGTAAGGAATGCTGCCGTGTGCGCCTCAACACCGGAGCTTCACTGCAGGCTCCGCGCCTGGCTCGGCTCGCAGTCACATCGGCTCTCCGAGTCTGGTTCCTCACGCACACAGGCGGTTTTGGTGCGTCAGTGCCGAGCCGAGCCAGGTTCTTTTTTTCTTCTATTTTATTTGTTGCGTCTTCAATTGACGCAACGTGTCTCCAAGCCCCGGGAGCGTTGAGTGCTTTGCGGTTTCGGAGTAATATTCCATTAATATCAACGAGGGAGTAATTCTCCATTAATATTTCAATATGTCATACTCGTCACGTATCGTCGCAGTCAGTTGACAAGATGACCACCAAACAGCATTTCCGCGTACGCGCCCCTGCGTCACTTCTCAGCGGCCAGAATTGGGAAGGCATTAGGATTCGGGAATAGAACACTTCACAGGGGTCGAACGAGCCCCTGGGAAGCATGCAAACTCGTTTTGTCGAAACAAATTTCACATGAGATTCTGCGGTTCAGAGGTTCGCTTGCCGGACTTGTCGGTTTCAGTAGTAGAGAAGTCAGCTCTGCTTCCCTCCACTGTCAGTTACAGACTTCTGAAAATCCTTTTGTATCCAAGTGTTTCGCATCTTCCGAGCTTCTCTAAAGCGATTATTTGTTTTAACTTCACATGAAAAGTACTTTTCGTAATTTTGAAAGTCTGCCAACATATTTCCTCTAGTATATAATTTATAATTTCTTCGAAAATGTATATTCCTCCATTCGCTTAAAGTGTTTTTTTCACTTTCTCTGCTGTTCGACCATTTTTTTCTAAATTATGAATGCCTATCATCACATCGTAGTTTAGAATATTATTTAGTGTAAGGCAACCTTTTCGCATGTAAGAAATTATTTCTGCTCTCTGCGTTCTCCTTTGATTACAGTACGCATTTCAAACTGTGCCTACACGAGCTCCTTGACGGCCTGGGAGGTCCGGCGCTCCTATGAGCACGGGCAACTTCTCCTGACCCCGCTTTCATTTCCTCTTCAAATCCAGAAGGGAGTGTTTTTGAATATAATTTTTTTTAATATTTTACAAAGTTCAGTACACACTCTACGTTAATATTGTTGGCGTATGAAAGGGATGTACACGTGCAAGCTATAGCGTACAATGTAACACAAGGGCACACACGAAAATCACGACGAATAGTTGTTGTATACGAAAACATTTTTGCCGGATGTTTTCTAGCAAACAGCTGAAATCCGAATAATATTTACTATTTACATTTAATTTATTTGCTATTTTTTCGTTTTGTTCCTATAAATTACATAGGATCTTGGACGTGATCTGCTGTCTGACTTCTATGACTCGGTCCTGTTAAGAGTGGGACTAGGGAAGGAGCATGATTTTTCATCCGAAAATGTGCTGAAGGTTTACAGACTACATCTGCTTGGATCGCTGTATGTTTTGAAACACCGACCCCGTTGATCTGGGTGGCGCAGAAGCTGGGTGCAGATCTCAGAACTGAAGAGTCTCACGTAAGGCAAATATTTATCGACACGCGGTACATTCATACAATGTATAAATACTTCACGATATCCCACCCATCTTACCTTACAGACATACTGAAATGCTATGGCATAATTTTTTTAGCAAGAAACTTCCCTAATGAAAAGCGTTCATCAGGGCCTGTTAATTATTTCCTGATTCTTTCTAATGACCTCCCTGGAGAAGACTAAGTCATCGCCTCATACCTCACGAACCTAACAATGCCAAAATCGACTAGCATATAAAAGCCGAACATTTTCCACAAGCATGATCATTTCCTTTCAGCCCTCTTGCCCAGGCGGCGCAAGTCAAGCATGGCGCAAACCTGGCGAATACTGGTGGCGCTTCTAGCGGCCAGCGTGGCACTAAAATCCGAAGCAGTATCGCCCGAACCGTGGCGGAGCACGCCGGCCTCAGCAGAGGGATTGGAGTGGGCCGTGTCTACAGCGGAGTCGCCGGTGCCCGCACCGCAGCCCGTCCTCGGCCCCGACGCCGCCGCACTCTTCGCGCAAGACTTTTTCTACGCGCAGCGGCTGCAGGTGGTGGCGCTGTGCGCGTGTTCGAAAGAGGGTGAGTGTGCGGGAGGCCGTGCGAGGCCGAGTGCTGCGCGATAACAGGAGTTGGTGCGCTCATTTTATCTCTCTATATATATTTGTACTATACTGTTAAGTTGACTTAACCCAACCAAACAGACGAACGAAAAGTCGGTCGTTAAGGATTTAATAGTCCGCTGTCCGTTAAAAATAATCGAAGCAAATGAGATGTAACTAAAGATGGCGGATGAGTACAAGGATCGGTACTTCTTGTTTATGATTTTTTTCCTTGTAAGAAGATATTATGCAAACTATTGAACGACACACGGCCGTTAACACAATAAAAGACTCGTTAGATATTTGCTTTTTATCAGCCAAATGAAGTTAATAAATTTTGAGTAATCCCAAACTCTTTCCAGCAATAAAATACGAGTAAATGCCTTGACTGGAATGTTATGATACTTTGTTTCTTTTGTTCTTAATACATAGTGCCCGGAAACTGACGTGACATTTCAACAATCATGTGTGTGCTAGGTGCAAACATTGAAGTATGAGGGATTTAGTTGAATAGAATATTAGGGACATAGCTAATAGTAATTCTTATATGAACCCGGAAGTTGATTCAATACAGAGCCGAACCAGGGGCAGAAAGAATATAATATCATTTTTCTGACCAAAACCTAAGAAAAACTCTATCAGTAATAGATTTGAGGGGTCTGGGATTATTACATCGTGTACGATGGGTGCATGCACGGGGATGCAAGGCCGTGACGGTAGACGCTTGTTCTCTCGATGCGAAGTGCTTGAAAGAATGTGGCATTGCGCAAAGTTGAAATTGTCCGCTGAAGGACTTGTGAATGTGAAACGATGCTAGTAACTCTGTGTAATATGTTTCCATAGCACACTTTGAGTCCAAGGACAAAGAGGTTAGCTAATGGTGAAACTATTGTTTTACTGGCTTTTGAATTTGTCGTTTGACTTCTGGTTTTTAATAACCTGCGGTAAATAGTTAAAAAACAGTGTTCAAAAGCCCTACTAAGTGGAATTATTGTTCAACTGTTCTAGAACAATGTCGTTGATAAAGAGTTAGGACTATACTAGGATTCAATTACAAACTGATAAACGATCACTCCATGGTATATGATGCATATGAACGAAAATATGCTTTCTACAGAGCTAGTGGCGGATTTGCTTTGAGTATGGTCGTGTGACCACATACTTTGTGCTTCTTGGATTGCTGACAATGGTGTACTAGCCTTTCTGCTAGAGAGTTTGCTTTAAATCAAAACGATGGGTGTAATATCGAAAAAACTTTCGCTAGATGTTCTGTAGGATGATGAAATATTATGTGTGCTTCCGAATCATTTCATCTTATTTTGCTGCAGCTTAATGAGTAGCAAATTCCAAAAGAGTTACACTAAAAGATAGTGACACAGAACTGTCTCGGTTGATGACATTGTTCATGGACCAATTCGTTTCATCATGTTTTTATTCAATCGCAATATTCGGTTTTGCCTTTTTCAGATTCTTTTAATATTATTTCTATTACATTTTTTATCTGTTTTGTTACTCGAAAATCTCTAACGCTCAAGTCGTTTAAGAATTCGTAAATATTGACCGTTCACAAAAACACGTCCCACGATTATTTCACGCTTCTAACCTCCCATGAAGTTTACACTGATGTTGGCAAACATGAGTGACTTGAGTTGCAACCTCAAAGCAGACATTCTCGCTGTTCAAAACTCACCGCCACTGTTTTAGCCATGACATATTTTTAGGAAAACTTAAAGGACCTTAACTTGTTACATTTTTTCTTTCGTTTTTCTTTAGTTCTCTGTGCACAAACGTTATATCCACATATTTAAATAATAATCTGCCGCTTTTCATCAACTGAGAAACGTAAGGACGATTATGAAGAGAGGTCATTACGGAATATTTCAAACGTTATTATGAATTGTGAAAATACTAAATTATGCTCCAGAACGGTCATTTAGAAGGAATAGCAAATATATCAATCAGCATTAATAATATCATTTCTTGTGGCTGTTTGACTTATTCCTTTATTTACAACAGGTCTTGATGCTGATGATAATTTGTTATGAAGTATAGCAGCAGCAAACTTCAGAAGTAATGAAACGAATCAATGAAAATGAGATATAAACCCAAGGAATAAAAGCCCCCGGCCTATCTTTGGATCGTGAATTATGTTATTCATTTGGCCTGATACCCTACTAAGGGGAAGAATTACCCTGTCTCGGACCCTACCTTAAAAAAATCTCCTTAATCAGAATTTATGGTAGAAAGGACTAGAATTTATGATTGTGGCATTCGGATCTTGAAAATGATTTGAGATTTGAAACTCGAAGTTTGATTTTCATCGTTTGCATTCTAATGAATGTAATTTCAATTTTCTTTCAAAATGTATTTTATTTTCTGTGTTCTAATCCAAGATTTAGGCTCTTCATGTTTCTATTATTTTATCCAAATAATGGAATCAAAAATGTTGGACAAAATCAAAATTTTTCATTAAAGGAGAAGGAGTAACTTTATGAATTCCAAGTATCTTCTTTGACGGGCAGCAAATAGCAGTTCTTCACTCGTGGGCTTTGGCATGTAATACCTCTAGTTTCGTGAAAGATTTGACAACACATTTCTTTCCACTGTGAGTCGCGAAATGACTATTATTATTATTATTATTATTATTATTATTATTATTATTATTATTATTATTATTATTTAAACTCTAACGTCACTTTATTACATTTGATATACTTTTACGTGTAAAAATAAGAAATGTTTGAGGTAATATATTTAATATTCATATAACAACACTTATTAAATATTTGTAATTGAGTTATTTCAGTGATTAGAGGATTTATTTTTGTATTTAGTTTAAGGAAATTCTTGTAGGGGGAACTTGTTTTACGAATGTATGGGAATTCCTCTGGCTGCCTTAAAATCTTTGGCAAACAATCATTATTTTTAATGAGAACAGAATTTCATAAGGGACTAGCTGATTACTCGACGATGCCCAGGTGTTTATTCTTCACAATAATTAATTAAACAGCTCCTCCCGCTTTGGGTTGCACCATTTCTATTAAAATTAGGGTTGAAGAGTATCTAAATTTAATGTACATTTTGGGATGATGAATCCCTAATTTTTTCTCGACTTTTCAGAAGCTCGGGCAAACTTTGAGTGTGATCTCTCGAGTGGTACAATGTCGAAAATCACAAATCCACCCATTTGCCCTTGCCCGTGCAAATGTACTAGTACGTGCTGATGTAGGAAGGAGCGTACGCCGAGAGCGTTAGACTTTAATGCAACAATGAAGAGCGGTGAATTGTCGACGTGTCTTTTGAGAATAGCGAGTATTGTCGATGACAAGCAGTAGTGTACTGTACCTCTGCGCATAGGTCTTTCTAATTGTATTAACCTCATTTTCTTTACATAGCAGCAATAGATCACTACGTTGTTTATAAATAATTTACTACTAGAACGCACTCTCACATATCGAAGTGGGTTTGGTTTTTTTCCAAGACATCACAGAAACAACAAAAACAAAACGAGCCCTTTTTTTTCGGACTGTCTCCGCTAGCGTCAGCCGTGGTCTGATGCTGTTAGACACAGGCGCTATTCGTGTTCGAGCCCTCGTTTTCAAAACCACAGTAGTTCCTAATTCTGCCGTCTGCAAATGTATAACGAACGAGTAATACCTGGCGTGGGCCAAAGAGTTGAACCTTGCGGGACTCCACGCGTGTGTATGAGCGCGCGGGTGTGTGCGCGTGCGCAGAGACGCGCCGCCTGTCGCGCGCGCTGTGGCTGCTGGGCGCGTGGACGCGCGCGGGCGACCCCGAGCTGCAGGAGCCGCTGGCCGCCCGGGCGCTGCAGCTGCCGGCGACGCCCGCCCGGCTGGGCGTCCTCGCCGACGCTCGCTGCGGCGCCGGTCGGCGCTGCCTACGGCAGGTGCGCGCCACTCGCCGCGCTCCACCGCGCTCGCGGGCTCTACTGCCATTTTCGCAACTCTGCCACTGGCAGGGATCAGCTGTTGACAGATTCATCCAATCGGGAGTTTGAATGTCACCGTAGTGACGTCACTATGATGACGTTCAAACTCCCGATTGGATGAAACAATCACCAGCAGATTCCTGCCGGGGGCAGTGTTGCATTAATCGCTGTATAGAGTCCCTAGATGCAGTGTGTAGCGCATTCCGTTGTTCCACCGACCATTTTATATCCAGTTGTCAGGAGAATAGGAACTGTGTGGTACTGCGTGTGATGAGAATCATGAATCTATCTCAAACCAGTATTAACATTCTTTAATATTTCCATAATGTCATAAATTGATATTATTTCTGTTCAACTTCTGAATTCTACTTGATCGGATAAGAGGATATTAAATGGCGGCGGTTGCGTTACCCTCTTTATCTAGGGATTCTACAGAGGGCGTGAGAGAATTTCCAAAGTGACGTGTTCGCAAAAAAATATTTTTTTGAAACCGAAGGTTTTCAAATTTAGCCTTAGAGTTAAAGATACGATTTGACGGGCTTCGAAAACTGTTTGACATAGATAACACGCTATTTTTGTAATTGAAAACATGATGGAAAAGCGTCTTAAGAATAGTATATTGGTTCATAAAAATAGAAAATAGAAAATGGAGATACATCACTTTTGAAATAACCTTTTCACCTTTTAGTAGCAATGAAAACTACTGACAACAAAACTCAACGACCAAGTACTTTCTTAAGATAATTATCCTACCGAGTAACCTGCGTGTGTGTCCGTCGCTCACGGTTGCTTCATGGATGAATACGTTGGTTGAACCTCATACGGTCCATCAATTGGGGGCAAATGATATGTCATTTTATGCGTATACTGGTGGGGAAAGGCCATTTCCTCTGATTCTTTGATAATATTCTAAGAGAATTCCTGAAAAACGCATTTATTTGAGGCTTTAGAACACAAAACGCGTTTTAGGGGAATTTTAAGACACATACTGATGTAATACATATTTCATTAGATTACATTCAACAAGACCA